GGTCAACCTTGAAAATGAGCGATGTGTCGTCAGCAAACAGTACAATATCACATAACTCACTGGCACATATTAACCGGAAGGACCTGCCCAGTACAAAAGCGATAACAGCGATGCCAAAACAACTTTTTGAGTGGAGCGGAGCCCAGTTCCGTCCTTTAAATAGGACAGTGAATGTGATGATCCTTATATGATAACTGACAACTAACTGGAAATGACATACCAAAAACTGGCCAAGTGCGAGATGGACTCGCTCAAGAAGGGTTCCGTACCGTTATCTATAAAACGGCAAAAAAGATCATGTCTGTTGTATGGGAGCCCCATTTTTTTTTAATTCTGTTCCTGAATAAATGTTTTTGTTATAGCGGCAACAGAAATACATCAACTATCAACTTTCAACTATCTAACTATCACGGTTCATGAGATAGACCCTGATGACAGACGGACAGTAATACAGTAGAGTTTTAGTAATAGGGTTCCGTTTTACGCTTTGGGTACGGAACCCTACAAAAACGCTAAAACGGTAAATGTCGCCATTTGACGGGATCGTCAATATATAATAAAAAAAATATTTATGAGGATGCAGTACAAATCAGATCAACCTATACACCTGATATAGAATTTGAAACGAAGTTTTATTTCACTTATTAACGAACCTCGTTACAGATCTCCGATTGCACCAACAGGCAATTTTCAATAAGAAAATTCCTTATTTCAAAGCCTTTTTCACCATTCGAATTTCAAAATTCTAACGTGGCCTACTTCCAGCTGCAAGCCTCATGCACTTAAATGAACGACACGGGCGGTCGTTATTATAGTAATTATTTTTTCACATATAACTAGCAACTCGTATATTGCGTCGTGTTATTAAGAGATTGGAAGTATTTAATAACATTGCGGATAACTGTTTCATTCCAAAGAAGGGTAAAAATCTTTAACTTTTTCTTTTTATGTGATAAGATGGCAAGCGAGCATACGCTATTTGTTTCTTTCTTGTTCATTAATAATCATTCTTCCAATTATAATAGATATTATGTAAGTTTAAATGAGTTAAGGTAACAGTGTGTTTCATATACAATTAAAGGCATGTAGAATATGAATGGGTTCGATCCCCACCACTGGAAAAATATTGTGTGATGATTTTCCAGTGTCTGGGTGTTTATATATTTATAATATGTATTTATTTACAAAATAAAAGCATGTTTAAGTATGTTTATCAGTTATCTAGTACCCATAGTTTGTAATTAATTATTCTTCCAATTATAATAGTACTTTCTAAAACTGAAGATATATGTAAGTTTAAATGATTTAAGGTAATAGTGTGCCGAGAAATTGAATAAACACATACATTCACAATTTGGTAGTTACTAGTACTCTTGTGCGAAACGGGAGTATATTAAATATTTTTTAATCATTCTTCTGTTTGAACTAATTAAGTTTTTTAACGTATTATTTACGTCGAATTTCTAAATATTTTGAACATACATATTGTTTATACACAAATAAAGGCATGTAGAATACGAATGGGTACGATCCACACTACTGGAAAAATATTGTGTGATGGACAAACAAAAATCTAGTCTGGATGTTTATTTATATTTATAATATGTATTTATTTACAAGTATGTTTATCAGCTATCTAGTACCCATAGTACAAGCGTTGCTTAGTTTGGGACTAGAAAACGTTGTGTTAAAATGTGTCCTGAAATATTTATATTTATATTTATTTATAATTTTCAAAAAAAATCATCCCAAGTATCGCGATTTGCACATCAAGCGATATGGCATCATGATTTGTCATATTCATCACTAATCAGGAATAATAGAGGATGAAAATTAAAACAAATACAAGAATTAAGATCCATTGGCTCTTCTTCCATGCATTACAAGCGTATTAGGTTCTCGTCATTTAATTCATCTCCATTCGAGTCTAATTAGCCGATACGGTATAAATAAGAGACATACTGACAAACTTTCGCATTAAATATAAATGCGATAAAAGCGTTGCAGGGAGGGTGGAATTGGTTTAAATTTGAAAATAAAACGTCCGAAATGGCAGCAATTGGAAAAAGATAAAATATACGAACGGGAGTTGTGAGCCCCAATTTTACTCGGTTCATGCCGAAAACAGCAGCCATTATTTCGCACTCGTCGACTTTGCGGAAAATTTTACATGTCTGTGGGCTTTTTAAGCGAATTTGCATCACTCAAAATTGATATCGATATTATAAAATTTATACCGACTGCGTTCATACGTTTTAAAATTACCCATAACAATCGTATTTCACTACTGAAATGATCAGGCAATGGATGTGTAGTCAATGCATGTCTTTATTTCGTTTTATTAATCGATTTAAAAACTACGATATAAAAGAGTAACTTCAAAAATACTTTAAAAAGTTCCTAATTGAAAAATGTTACTATAGTATCAACGAATTTCTAGACGATAATGAAATTAAATATCCTTGAATGTTTTAAAATTTTTTTCCCGACATTTTAAAATTGTAACCATTGTTTTTTTTATTTTTATTTTGTCCAACCATTACTATTTTTTTATTATTATTTTTTGATATTTTATAATTTATTATATTTATAATAATGAGACAATTCCTATTGTAATTTTGTATAATTGTAATTTCAATTGTGTGTTGTTTTTGTTTTGCATGAATCATTCAAAACAATTTGTATTGTTCAGAATAAAGGAATATATAATTATAAAAATTACCTCAGGTCATGGGAATAAATGACATAAAAAAGTACAAAGAAGTCATACACATTCCAACGATTCAATTGTAAACAATAGTTTTTTTTTTTTATTTAGAACGTGGCATACGAGCTGGCCTTTCACCTGATTGTAAATGGTATCCGGCCGCCCATAGACATTTGCCACACCCGTAAAGTTTCAGATGCGTTGCCGCTTTTAAATAAAGTCGGCCCCGGTCATCTCACTCAACAGGCGAACAGTAAAACTCCTCCACTTCACGCCGGTCTTCTGTAAGGTCGTGGTACTTCTCCGGACTAACCTGCCCATTCGTGGATAATCGTGGTAGTTCTAAATACCACAACAATATTCTTGTCTACGCAATTTTCCGAACTTTACTTTATATTGATAACGGTTAATATTAAAGTAAAAACATCCTATAAATTAGACATTTATTTGTCACTAGCGACCCGCCCCGGCTTCGCACGGATACAATGTATTATACATATAAACCTTCCTCTTGAATCACTCTATCTAGTAAGAAAAACCGCATCAAGACCCTTTGCGTAGTTTTAAAGATCTAAGCATATATAGGGACTGACAGACAGCGGGACAATTTTGTTTTATACTATGTGCTGATTAGCTGATGATACTGATGAAGAAACTGGACTACGATGAGTTGGATGTTCAGAGGTTATATTACATTTACAAGTACATATAAATTTAAACACATGAAGCTAATAGAACCGTGTCAATAGTTAAACATCATTTGAAAGAAAAATTAAGCAAGTAAAGATCTTATATGTTAGTAAACACACAGGCTGTCAAAGCATAAATTCAAAAAATTATTAGATAAACTATGTAAGATTTCCATTTCTTAAGGAATGTTCACTTAGACACGTTTCAGACACTTCAATGCTTTACTAACAAATTTATTTTTACAACTTAAAATTTTCGGTTTTTAATTAAACAATAGGGCATACAGAATATAAAAGTAAAACTTAGGCTTATCTATATATGTTGAGATATACACGTATCTCTCTAATAAATCACTATATACAATATTTTTATGTTTTACCATTTGATCTCAAGCAATATTTTCCTTGTTACTTGTCCTTGTATATATTCAAATAATCTTTGATTCATGAATTTACAGAGCAAATACACATTTATATTTAAATATTAAATTAAGAGAGAACAAAATCTCGATAGCAATATTCGATATATTACGTTAAATGATAATAGTATTTTTATAACGACACATTCATGTGTACTTTCTATACGCTATATTAAAACACGTCGCGATAAAGTTTCTTTGTATATTTACTTTGAAAGTTCTTCAGGCTTTTGCTACTCACAACGGACGAGCCTATTTGAGCCTGGCGAACTTTTACTATATGAATCGAAAGATCTCCAGAGTTTCATAATATTGTACACCGTTCTATCTCCCTATAAAACATTATATGTACGAGAGGCAAATTCAGTAAATATATTTTGGATTTCACTACGGAGTTCATTGAAGTTCATGGTTACGTTACTTCTATGGGATAATCTAAGAATTTTATTTCAGCGTGTTGCGTTATGAAGTAGAGATGCAAAATAAGAAAAACATTATACTGAAAAAATAATAATGTTGTATGAATTATATAATTTTATTGAGCTTTAAATACTTCCGTTTAATAATTAATTAATTACGATGGAATTGCATAGTTATTCCTCTTTCATTACTGGTACAGTTCGAGAGGTGTAATATTTTTTTCAATTTGTAACCAATTTTGTTAACATAATAATAAAATACATAACTATGTATGTATAAAATTAGTTCTTTACCAAAAATTATCGTTTTTCAAGAATTACTGTCTGGTTTCTTTTTTCATTTAAATTCGTTGTGAATGAGTACTTCGAGTCTATGATAGATGATACATTGGTGAATAATAATTGCTGTTTCAAATTTTTTTATTATTTAAAAATTAGTTAAATAACATATTAATTATATTACCTATATAATATAATTACACATATTTTTAACAAATTAAAGTTGCCGCTGCAAAGTTATAGCCCGTTTTAAGACCTCCATATTTTTTCCTATTCTACGTGCTAAGTACAAATATTGTACTTTAAGCTATAAAAGAATCCCCAGAAAATATATGACCACGATGTAAGAAAAATTTAACTGATCCCAAACATTACAACTTCGGTGTTAAATAACAGGACATAGTATAAACGAGAGGATTGCTAGAATTGATATTATAAACGAATTAAAGATTCCTCAGAGACTACGCCAACGTTAGATACGAGGATCATGTCAACTTCAGACGAGAAAAGCGCACAATCGCACAAGACCCATAAACCATTCCGTTTACGACCTCGTAGACAGCGAGGGGCATTAGCTCTACGGGGTGCTACGCGACTCGTAGCGGCTAACAAATCGGCTACTCACGTTGCGCTGGACTGGACGGCTGCCCCACTAGCACACACAAATCACACGCTAAACACTGTACACATGACGGCGGCACTCGCTACGGCGCGGCCACGTGCGCACGGCCGGACGGCGCGAAAGCAACTGACGGCCGACGGGACGTCTTCGGGGAACGTTCCGCGCTACGGGGAGAATAATGTTGACATTATTCGGCCGCCCGCCCAAATCGCCGATGGGCTTCTAATCAATTTTGGCGAATACGACCGCAAATTTAATCCGTACAAATTGTATAACTCGATGTCTTCGAGTCTGTCTGACGCACGCAAAACATGAGAACTATGTACATTTATCAGTATAGTACTACGTATACTGATCCCACGATTATGTTTTCAGTATGTCGTCACTTTATGTAGCCGCTTTACAGTATACATTATGTTACGATAAGTAAATAGTATTTCATCCGAATCAAAAATTCGTTCAAGTTCGGGAGGAAACTCATTTCAATTTAATGTTTTTCTTGTCAACAGCAGATTAAATGTATACTGTATTCCATAACGTTGACTTTTACATAAAACTTGTTTGACGTTTACATATTTGTAATTCTATATACGCTCCCCAAAAATTGGCAAAATCCTCCCGCACTGGCATCCCCGCCCAGAGAAAATGGCGGGAAGAGGCGCCTGCGTGGACTCTCCTCCGCACCGCTCCACTCTCCCGCTGAAAACTTAGCGCCAATCGAAGTGACGTATTAGGCCTGCACACTGCACCCCTGACACGTATCGGCACAAAAACCGCTCTCGGCAAACTTTTTTGCAACGTGGCCTTAAAGCGCGAGCTTTTCGATAGGGCAGGCGGAGGTGCAAGTTGAAACAAACTTCGCTACTCCGGAACATACAATGCCAATCGGTACCGAGCTCGCCCTATGTGTACTTTTCATAAGAAAATGAATATAAAAATTGTATATTTTTTTATGTAATAGGTAGATTACTCTAGACTTAATATAAAATGTCTATTGCCTTGTTTTCACTTTTTCAAACCTTCATTATTTTTGAGCAACAGGATATTTTTATAATCAAAATAAAAAATAATAATCATTTATTCATCGGTATAAGAAACTTACATTTCATTTGTCATTAGTCATATTTTTTTTTAAATCTACCACCGTTTCGTAATGGGTTTCCTGTAAGGGAGAAGAAACAGGCGAAAGAAACTCCGTAGGTATCTTCTTTTTTGTAATTCATTTTTTTTCTTAAACAAATTAAAATGTTATACAACTGATTTATTTTCCTTTTAGAAATAACTTGGGAGCGATCTACTCATTCCAAGGGGTTATTGTCTTTAATGTATTCATTTATATTATAATAATCCTTTTTATAAAGTTGTTCTTTAATAAATTTCTTAAACCTTTATTGTAGAAGCGTATATACCGCCCCATTAACAAGTTACTCTACGGAGTCTAGTGTAGTATGATAGTTAATTTATGGAATAAATTCTAACTTGTAAATAAGAATAAATGTGGTTCAAATAAAGATACAACTTACTGTATTTACACATTATAAGTTCTCTCTTTCAGAATTCTTCTCTATTTCCCCTTCCATTCTTTTCACTTTAAAAAAAAAGTCTAAAGTCTCAGCCACTATAGGTCCCATTGGTGAACAAAGGCCTCTCTACAGAAGGTACAGGGCATAGTTATACGCGACTGCACCGCGAATGGCCGAACATCACATGTCTACGAAATATATTTCCTCACAACGTTTTTCTTCATCACGGAGCACGTGATAAGTCAGCAGTTAAAATTGCTACTAGCAAGTCATTGGTGCTGGCACCGAGATTCTAACTTGGGTTGCTGAGTATATCGAGCGTATATAAGCGAGCGCTCGGACAATGGACCACCGCGACTCAAAATTCAAGTGAAAGTGTTTGCTATAATTTTTTTTCTGTGTTAACTAGAATGTTAAATATTGTTACATAACTAAATTGTGGAAGGGCCACGCAACGGTCTTCTCTGTTGCACGAAAGGGCAGTTTCGTCTGGGGAAGTACCACGGGCTCACAGAAGACGGGCGTGAAGTGGGAGTGAGATTCATGTTCTGACTGGTGAGGTAGCCGGGGCCCACTTTTTAAATGACGCTAACGCGTTTGTAACCCGTCAGGTGTTGTACATGGGCGGTGGTAATCACTTACCATCGGGTGAACCGCTCGCTCGCCAGCTATTAACATAATATAGAGATAAGAAGGGTATATCGATTCTGATATACCCTTCTTACCTCGGGCCGTTTTCTTAACTTGCCCAAAGTTGTTGTTATTTATTAACTAGGACTATGCCAAAGCTAAAATTTATAAACATTAGTGCTACAAGATATAAAATTCATTCTAAATAGATAGAACCTGAAACACAGTGTGCCCTCATATGCGTACGTAACCATTGTCGAATTATTTCTATCTTTTTAAAAAAAATATTGCCTTATATAGATAACATTATCCTGTGTTGTAAGGACATTTTGCATACGAAAATTTCACGTGGACAAACACCCAGATACGGAACAATTACTTGTGGGTCACACAAATAGTTGTCCCGTGCGGGAATCGAACCGACGACCCACGGAACCGAAGTCAATAGGTACCATGACAACTGGGTCATAGAGTCGTCTTTGTTTTTGCTAAACATTACCTGTGCATTAGCACACATAAAAGAGAAAAAGATCCAAATGAAACGGCTTCTAGCTGTCAACTAGCGGCACTAAACAAGGCTATCCGTGGAAACTTTCAAAGCGCTCGGACGTTATCAAATCCGGAAATATCGGAGTTATTGGCGGCAAACGCACCTGCGCCTCGTAGCACATCCGGCGACTCTAATACGAATAGTTTTCAGCCGCGACTGCTGAAAATTCTATTAAAGTGCAACGTCATCGCGTCTGGTTGTTGGCGCCCGTCTTGGCACTCGAATTCAATAAGAAATCTGCTACGGTGACCCAAAGAAAGCATCCACCAGCACCTTAATCGTTAGTTTATAAACTAAGAATCTTTTGACGCTATCTAATATTATGTATGTACATGAATGCATTAAATTGATATACCCTATGTATAGAGGAGACCTTTGCCCTACAGTGGGACATGTATAGGCTGACACTTTACTTTGCTTACATATATAATATCGACAGCGAAGAATATGAATCAGTTTTATGAGATCATCCATCAAATAAATATTCCAAGCAAGAGTGCATAGTGTAAATAACAATTCTAATCTTTCTTTAAGCGAGGCGACAGGAATGTCTCAAGTATCTGTCTGTTCCAGTGACAATTTCCACTCAAAGTTAACCAACAAAACGGGGAATTAAGTGGGATATTCCCATGTTTCAGGGAGTACTGAAAATGCATGCTTCACTTCACTTGACAGGCTTTAACGCATTGCTGTAGGTATCCACCGAATTTGTTAACCGTTCCTTATGGCTTATAAATAAAGCCTCCAAACAAGAAAGGAAGCTTGGCAAATCACACAATCCAATTCCCATGGGGGAAGACAGTCGCTTATTTTATTGTTTTTAGTACTTGTTGTTATAGCAGCAACAGAAATACATGTGTGAAAATTTCAACTGTGTAACTATCACAGCTCATGAGATACTAATAGTGACCGACATACAGCGGAGTCTTAGTAATAGGGTCCCGTGATATCCTTTAGGTACGAAACCCTAAAAATATTAATCGCTTTCCATTTGCACCGGAATGGAAACAACAATGTGTTTAGAGTAATACAAATTTCAATTCAAACTTAGATATGAATAAATTCAATTTATTGAGTGCTTTATGCTGCCAAATGCAATAAGCGTAAACTTAAAGTTTGCAGAAAAAAATGGATAGCTGAGGTTTGGCATTGCAGTAATTTTAACTAGTTTACTAGTTTTTGACGATCCTATTACCGTAGTGGATATTGGACCTGTTTCGTGTCTCTTGTCACCCTGCGATAGAGTGTGGGTTCGATCCCCACTACTGGAAAAATATTGTGTGATGGACATATTCCAGTGTCTGGGTGTTTATGTATCTATGACTAGCGACCCGCCCCGGCTTCGCACGGGTGCAATGCTGCACGTTTGGTTTCGGTGTCGCATTAGAAACCTCCAAAATTACCAGTGTTTCTCTACTATATCATGCATGAATTATACATATCAACTTTCCTATCGAATCACTCTATCTATTAAAAAAAACCGCATCAAAATCCGCTGCGTAGTTTTAAAGATCTATGCATATATATTGACAGACAGACAGCGGGACGACTTTGTTTTATACTATGTAGTGATATGTATTCATTTAAGTATGTTAAGCATGCTTATCAGTCACCTACTATCTATAGTGCAAGCTTTGTTTAGTTTGGCTCTATTTTATGTGAGATGGGGGCAAGCGAGCTGGCGGTACACCTGATGTGAAGTGATATCCGTCGCCCATAGACATTTGCAACACCCGAAAGGTTGCAGATGCGACGGCACCATTTAATCAAGTGGTCTCCAGCTATCTTACTAGACGACATGCAGAAGTATAACACTTCCACTTAACGGCGGTCTTCTGTGAGGTCGTGATACTTCCCCGGATGGACCTGCCCATTCGTGCAACAGCAAATCGTTGCTGGCCCTCCCGCATTTAGATAAAGCTGTTTGAAAATATTTTATTTATGGTGGGATATACATTTGTTTTCTCGTCTGGTTGGGTTTATTAATAAAAAATAAACATAGATATAAATATTGTATATAATGCATATATAAATAGTACCCAACCAGACGGAAGCCCTCGGCAGGGAAGACCAAACGGCCGAGGGTTAGGGTGAAAGGGAGAGAAACCGGCGGACGATGCAGGCGGTATCGAGGAGCACCGCCTTCTGCATTTGAGCTTGGAGCGATCCGTCCCGGATCCCCCAGTCGCCTCAGATGTTTGGAGAGGCTGACTGGGATTAACCCATTTGCAGATACGACTATTGGAATAATTTCGGTCGGCATACCACCCCACATGTCGGTTTTATTATTTATTATTATTAACTGCATTATAGCATCTCGTGTGAGTTAGAATCTAAGTATATTAATGCCTGACTGTTTTGTAGAAATTTTGTATTCTGAAATCGCTGTCCGCTAATGGGGAATGATAAACGCTATTAAATTTTAAATATTTATAGCTCTAATCTCTGCACTTAAAATGAAACATTGAAATTTGTAGTACGTAAATTACTTCTATTAAATTCTTTAATATTCCCCTAAATAAGATAAAGTAATACTTGAGGAGTTATGGTACAGCAGGGGAAATAACCACTTTTTCTGCCTAAACAAAATGTTAAAATATTTCTATGTC